GACATTTCAGAGAGGTGGCTTGCTATTGCCTGCCTCTGCGTCCTTGCCCTGGTATTCCTTGGAGGCCAACCCTGCTTAGCTTCTGAGATCTGATAAGATTGGGCTTCCCTGGACTATCCATGTCAGGGCAACAGATCTAATTCTTGACTCATGTCCACCTATGGATACTTAAATCAAGAGACTGGAGCCATGAGCAAACAAGACATATCTTTCTACAAACTTGAGAAAGGCCCCAGGTTTGCAGGAAAAATCTGAAATCTAAAACACACAAACACACATTTGGGAGTTTAAAAAAACCCCAAAATAATAGGAAGAGAGCCTGTATCTTTAAGAAATGGATGCCTTCTGAGACCTCAGTGGCTATTGTGGGGGGTTGCTAAGCAACCACAACAATATTGCCAGCCTTCAGACCTTGGTTTCTGTCAGTAAAAGGGAGAAGGAGGAGTTGTCAGGGCTGTCTCCAGGACTACTTTGACCTTCAGCCACTCCCGTTTCCCGGAAGGAAGATTTATGGGGGCAAGGGTGGAAACAACCACTGGGCGATTTGCTGTCATGCGATTTGCTGTCATGCAGTTTGCGCAACTCACCCAGGTGCAGTGGTGGCTACGACTTAATGTCATACAACTCACCTAGGCTTAGCAGCAACCTCAACATAATTTGTGCAATTTGGCTGGCTTGGGAAGTGGCCGCCACACAACACAACTTGCTACAGCACAACTTTTGCAACTTGGCTAGACTTTTCTCAGGGAGAGGCTACCAGGGGGAGGGAAGAAAGGTAAGATGAGGGCCAGTGTGGTGTAGAGGTAAGAATGTCAGACTAGGATCTGGGAGGCCCAGATTCAAATCCCCATTCTGCGATGGAAGCTTGCTGGTTGACCTTGGACCAGTCCCTCTTTCCCAGCCATCCCAGGGTTGTTGTGAGATTGCAGTAGAGAAGAGGAGAATGGTTTATGCTGCTTTGGATCCCCACTGGGAGGAAAGGTAGGGTGTGAAGTAAGTGAATAATAAATAAAGATTAATGAAATAAAGATCTGGTGGAGGGGGAGATAAAAAAGTTGGTGCATGGGAAGGAACAAGGAGAAGGACGGGGATAACGGGACTATCAGGAAGAAAGAGGAAATAGTGTGGGAAAGGAGATACAGGAGCATGACGTGAACATCCTTGCTGGTTCCCAGCGTATAGATCTCATAACACAAAATAGATTTTCCCAGTTATTTTGGGGTTTTATATAGTGCTCCCTCTAAACTGTGGAGTCTTGTGAGCAAAAATTCTACTTCGTGAGCTACTGTCATTAAAGCTGTGAGTGTGCGATTTGGCTGCTGCATAAATTAGTTTGGCTCTAGAGCCTCCTTCCTGAACTAAGACAAAAATGTGTGAGCAGGAAGCTAAAAAACTGTGAGCTAGTTCACACTAACTCAGTTTAGAGGGAACACTGGTTGTATATGTGTTTCGGTATTGCGCTTTGTGATAGTTCTCTTCAGCAAGACTAGTTCTCTTCCGCAAGATAGTTCTCTTCTGCCAGTTTGGTGTCGTGGTGTCGTGGTGAAGTGCACGGACTCTAATCTGGGAGAACCAGGTTTGATTCCCCACTCCTCCACTGGCACCTGGCTGGATGGCCTTGGGCAAGCTGTAGTTCTGATAAGAGCTGTTCTTGAAAAAGAGCCATTTCTGTCAAGAGCTCTCTCAGCCCCACCTACCTCACAGGGTGTCTGTCGTGAGGAGGGGAAGGGAAAGGAGTTTGTAAGCTGCTCTGAGACACCTTTGGGTAGTGAAGGGCAGGGTATAAATCCAGTCTCTTCTCTCGTCTTCTTTATACCAGGGATACTTGGCTTGGGAGTCATGTGTGGCTTTCTGACATGCCACCTGTGGCTCCTCAGAGCACTGTTCTCCAGTGTGGCGCTCACCCTGTGTCTCAGGAAAGTAGGGCAGGACTCGTCTAGTGGGGACTGTGGTTGGTATTTGGTTTCCACATTGAAACAGCTGCCGCTGAAGGGATGGAAAGGCAGTGAGCCTCCCTAAGATGCAGGAAGGACGTGAAGGTGGCTCTTTTGCCTTGCTGGGGTTGCCATCCATCGGTTACTACTTGATGGCACTTACGTATGCACATAATTGCAAATGTGGCTTTCCGTAACCCACAGTATTTGAGAGAGTGTGCGTTCACCCGAAAGCTCAGACCTTGAATAAAACTTAGTTGGTCTTAAAGGTACCACGGGACTCAAACTTTGTTCCACAGAATGAGTGCCACTGATATTTACTATCCCAGTCTCAACAGATCTTGGAAGTTAAGCAGGGTTGGCCCTGGGTAGTACTTGGATGGGAGACCACTGAAGAAGGACAGGGTTGCTATGCAGTGATGGGCAATGGCAAACCACCTCTGTCTGTCTCTTACCTTGAAAACCTCCTGAGGGGTCACCATAATTCAGCTGTGATTTGACGACATTTTCCACCACCAGCCACTGTTCTGTGGTGAGGCAAGACCCCCAATGTCAAAATCCCGGTGAACGGCCAGAGGCTGCGGCTCAGTAATCATTGTTCCTGAGAGAGATTTGGACATCCTCAGTTGCATTCTGTTGGGGCCTGGCCATGCCGTGGTATGGTGTGGACTGCCGAGAGTGGGTGCAGATGAGTGCCGAACTGATGCTCAGTTAATATGGGTGTGTGTGGCATGCAGGGGTCGTTTCCTGCAGCAGCGCACAGGAGCAGAACTCTGGCAGTAAAGAGCCCAGGGGGCGGGCACATGCAACAAGCCCCACCCCCTGCTCCCAGCAGCCCTCAGTCAGAGCAAGAAGCAGCCAGGTAGGTTGCAGAGCTCCCCACGACCCCCGGTCCAAAACAGTCGAGTGACACCTTTAAGACCAAGTTTTATTCAGGTACAAGCTCTCCCTCCTCTGCGAGGAAAGATCTGCACGGCCCTCCCCCCCCCCAATAGCTAGCAATCCAAAACAGTCCAGTGGAGCCTGAGCGGTGGGTGTTGCCTTCTGACACACTTCCGGTGATGTCAGGGGGTGTGGCATACGCAAATGAGTTATGCTAATGAGTTATGCTAATGAGCTCCTGCACCTCTTTTTCTACGAAATGACCCCTGGTGGCATGCATACATCTTCTGAAATTACGTCATGTGATCTAGTTTCTGTTAACAAACTTACTGAAAACTGGTCACAGGAGAGAAAATGTGTTCCCTAGCTACGAACGTTGTCGTTTAGCAATCCAGTCAGTTCTGACTTGTGAAAGGAATTGAGTCAGGCCGCTTCACAGGTTCTTTGTCAGCCTGTGAGACAACAGTCTTAATTAAGTGTTGCTAGGTATTTGGGGGGAGCCATTTTGAGTGTTACTAATCTATAAATATTGTATTTCGGGGGGAGGCGTATTTAACAGAGAAATTAATGAAAATATACCATGCAGTCCTTTACCCAGAAGTAAGTCCATGGCTCAGTGCAAAACATCCCAGGTTCGATCCCTGGCATTTTCAATTAAAAGTGGATCAAGTTGTACACGATGTGAGACACTTCTGCCCCGAGACCCCAGAGAGCTGCTGCCGTGCCAAGCAGATAATATCGACTTTGATGGACTCAGTATAAACGGCTCCCTCATGTGATCGCGTTTGCAAGTCTCACATGTTCATAGGGTTTATTACCAACTTAACCACACAAAGAACTGCAGCTTTAGACTTGGTGAGACCATTCAGTCAATATCACTGAAAAATCTTTTTGAAGAACTGAGGAAGCCCATATTAGCTTTATTATATGTTCTCCAATAGTTTAGGTAACGTATTTTTCGCTCCATAAAACGCACTTTCTCCCCCCAAAAAAGTGGGGGGGAAAGTGTGTGCGTCTTATGGAGCGAATACCGCAACAAAGAGACGCTGAGTCTGGGAAGGGGCGAGCTGAACAAAGGAGCACGGGGTGCTCCCGCCGCACACCCAGCTCGGCCTCCGCTTTCGCCCCGGGTGCCAGGGCCTCACCTTACCGCCACCTCGCCCTTCTTCCTGCACGCGGGGAGTCCTGCCGAAGAGCCAGGGTCCTGGGCAACGCTGGCAGTGGCGAGAGACTGGCGGGGTTGGCTGGCTGGCGCGGCACTTAAGTAGGCTGCCGAGAGGAGAGACGCCTCTAGAGGGCAGCTCCTCCCTCTGGCCCCGGAGAAAGTGCTGCCACCGCTCGCCAGCCAGCCACGTGCGGCGTACTCACCTGCTTGCCCAGCCCTGCTGGGGCAGCGGCGTCGTGTGCGGGCCGGCCAGGGACGAGCGCAGTGGAGTGGCAGGCGGGGCTGAGCCGGGCTTTGGCAGAGAGCGTCTCCGTCCTGTTTTCCTCCTCTAAAAACTAGGTGCGTCTTATGGTCAGGTGCGTCTTATAGAGCGAAAAATATGGTAAAAGATGAAAGACTATGCGTGCAGAAAGAATGGTTCATAAATAATAAGTTAACAGGTGGTGGTAGAAAGCGCCCGCAAGTCAAAGCTGACTTATAGAGACCCCGGTAGGGCTTTCAAGGCAGGAGATGTTCAGAAGTGGTTTGCCATGGCCTGCCTGAGTGTCGTGGCCCTGGATTACCTTCCTCGTTTCCCATCCAAATACTAACCAGGGCTGACTCTGATCTTCCGAGACCTCACGAGATCGGGCTAGCCTTGGTCATCCAGGCCGGGGCAATGTCTAGGTTATTTTACATAAAATATGTTTAAGTATTCTGTGCAGCTGTACATTACATTTTATTTTGCTTACGGGAAGTGAGTTGTGGAACAGAATGATCAAAGGGACTAAAATAAATAAATAAAAGCAGCGGTGCCATCACAAACTGGAGGACGGCCACGAGCCCGGCTGGGGAGAGCAGAGGGGTGGACGGTGGGGCGCGCGTGGGGCAGGCGGAGCTGGGCCATGCCGGCAGCTGGTGGGAGCGTCGCCTCTGCCTCTCTGGGGCTGTGGAGGAGCCGGTAGCGAGTGGGCAGCCATTTCTGCGGTTGCTGTGAACAGTCGCAACCCAGTCGCCAACCCCCGCCCCTCCAGTGGACGATGGGGAACCAGCTGGCACCCTTGCCCCCCTTCCTTCCCCCTCTGCAGGCCCTGCATGTGGTGGTGGTGGGGCTGGATTCGGCTGGGAAGACCTCCCTGCTCTACCGCCTGAAGCTCCAAGAGTTCATCCAGAGCATGCCCACCAAAGGCTTCAACATGGAGAAGATCCAGGTGCCTCTGGGAGGCTCTCGGGCCATCACCTTCCAAGTGAGGGTCATGGGCGGCCAGGAGAAGCTGCGCCCGCTGTGGAAGTCCTACACACGCTGCACGGACGGGATGGTTTTTGTGGTCGACTTCGCAGAGGCAGAGCGCCTGGAAGAGGCTCGGGTGGAGCTGCACCACATCGCCCGCGCCTCAGACAACCCAGGGGTCCCCGTGCTGGTGCTGGCCAACAAGCAGGATGCGGCTCAGGCGCTCTCGGCCTCTGAGGTGGAGAAGGTCCTCGGCCTGCACAAACTGGGCGCCTCCGCTCTGAGCCATGTCCAGGGCTGCAGCGCCATCAGTGGCCTCGGACTCCAGTCGGGTCTGGAGAAGCTCTACGAGATGATCCTCTGACACAGAAAACTCCTCCGTGGCAGGGGCGACAGCAGGAGGAGGTGCTGAGAGGACAGGGCAGGTCCAGAAGTGCCCTCCTGCCCTGTGGACTGACCGGGGGACCTTTTGCACTGCTGGGACATGGCGTGTCACTGCCACCCCAAGGACAGGGAACAGGGAAGCTCCGGTTTCCCTTTGGGTGGACTGGGATGCTTGGACTTGTGGAGCCGGGACTTGGCCTGGGGCCCAAAGAAGGTGGCCACGGTGGTGGTGGCTGTCTCCCTGGCCCTTCGGGAGGGGAGGGGAGGAGAGGGGGCATCCAAAGGACAGGCAGCTGCACCCAGGGAGTCTGTTTAGCCCCTTTGGCCTCACTCATCACTGGTTTGTCTCTCTTTTTTAAAAATGCTTTTATGGGCCCTTTGTGGGCTCCTGGTGTGTGTGCACGCGCGGGAGGGGGATGTGTGTGTTTGTTTGTAAAGAAGCAAAATCTAAATGATTAAAGAGGCAGTTTGGAAACTGAAGGACGAGTCGCTTACAGTAAATGGTTCTCTTCCGTTAACATTTTGTATGTTGTTTTGTTGATTTTCTGAAAGTTTATAGCTTGCTGTATAGGCCCAAGAAGCTTTCAGATTGTCTTACCGAAACAAAAACAAAAAATCCCTTTATTTACAAACTGCTCTGCTCTTGGTTCCCGTACACATCGATCCGGAGTTTGAAATTCTTCACTGTGGCCCTTCAACACAGGCTTCCCTGCAGGTGCTTCTGCACAGGCCCTCTGAGGTGGGGGAAGGGGACTGAAGAGTGAGAAATGGCCCTTGGCGGAGGCGAGCGTTCCCTTCCTGGAAGTTGGCCGTTGCTAGGCAGCAGCTGCAGAACCGTGGAGGATGTCCGAGGCAAGGAAGTAAAAGTGGAGTAAGCTGGAACTCGTTCAAGCCGTGATGGAGACGCAGATGTCCCGCAAAAGAATGCTCACCATTGGAATGACAGTGGAAATGGAAACTAGACGCATCGACCGTCAGTGATGTTCACGCAAACTATCGTCTGGTTTAATTCAAAATCCTCCCAGATGTGACCTTCGCTCTTTTCCCTTACTAGGCCTTCATGCAGAGGAGCAAGTAATCTTTCCCTTTGTCACACAGGGGTCCCCAACATTTTTGAGCCTGTAGCCTCATTTGGAAGTTTGACAGAGCGTGGTGGGCATCGGCACAAAATGGTGGCTGCTGGAGGCAGTGCCAGACACAAAATGGTTGCCACGGCTTAACTTCAGTCACAGAGTGTGGATCCTTGTGCTGTGGTGGCAGCTGCTGCCAAAGCAACATTTTTTAAAAATTGCACTGCCAATCAAATCTCCAGTCGCCAATCAGAAGCCGTGCTGATCAAAAGCCACTCCTGGACCCGCACACTTCCTAAAAATATGTGGCAGGCACCAGGAAAGTTGTTGGTGGATGCCATGGTGCCTGTGGGACCCCTGATATATCATATACTCCTGGGGCTCCATGGTTTTCTGTATGTAGATGAGAGAGAGAGCACATATTTCATCTGATGTATGTGTGTGGAACGTGAGGTTGTTAAGCCCAAGGCTTGAATGGGAAAGTGGAGACGAGGCTTGTTGTTTTCCTTTGGACAGAGAACTTGAGAGCCAGTTTGGTGTCGTGGTTAAGTGTGCAGGCTCTAATCTGCGAGTACCGGGTTTGATTCCCCACTCCTCCACTTGCACCTGCTGATGTGACCTTGGGTCAGTCACAAGCTCTGGCACAGCTCTTCCTGAAAGAGCAGTTTCTGTCAGAGCTCTCTCAGCCCCACCCACCTCACAGGGTGTCTGTTGTGGGGAGGGGAAGGGAAAGGAGTTTGTAAGCCGCTCTGAAACACCTCTGGGTAGTGAAGGGCGGGGTATAAATCCAATCTCCTCTTCTCTCTAAAACAGGCGCTCCAGGGGCAGGTATCTCAAATCATGAACAGAATGAGTGGCGTCCACCTCTTTCTATCCCGATTGTGATTGGCTTTCCTTCAGTGCTAACGGAGGGGAGGCACCAGTTCCCTGAAATAGCCTGGCTAATTCAGCTCGGTTCATTCCATCAGAATAGATTCCTTCTGGCTTCGGTTGACAGGGGTCTTTAAAAGAAACAGGTGGGATTGCGCGTACGTAACAGGAGCCGTAACAATGCATGTAGCCATTCTGAAAAAAGACAAAAGACAATCGTTCAGTAAACAGACAAAGGGTGGCTCAGCTGCCCCTCTGAGAGAGATTCTGTGTCAGACTCTGAGTCCCGTGTCTGCAGCAGGTATCTTGAATCCGCAGCGACCGCCTTGTCCTCCTTCACAAATGGCATTCCAAAATGTCTGCCCCGGGGCTTTAAATAGGAGTCGCCAGAGCCTGTTTCTCTACAGAACGAGAGCAGGGGTTGGGGCCGCTCTGTCCCACTGGGGCCCTGGATCTGTTGTACATGCAACCGACTCTCATTCATGGCGGCGGCGGCGGCAGGGAGTGCTTCCAAGTCGCAGCTGACTTCTGGCAACCCCGCAGGATTGTCAAGGCAAGAGACGAACAGAGGTGGTTGGCCACCGCCTGCCTCTGCGTAGCAGCCCTGGGCTTCCTTGGTGTTTGCCTACCCAAGTACTTAACCAGGCCCAACCCTGCTTAGCTGCTGAGATCTGAAGAGACGGGGCTAGGCTGAGCTATCCAAGTCCGGGCATCCGTGGAGTCAGCCTTGAGCTGTTGAAGTGTTTTCTGGGCATCAGGGCATCAGTTCATCGATTCAACCAGGGCAATGGTGCCACGGAGAGGTAGGGGGGAAGAGCAAGTCCCTCAGCCCTCCCGTGTTGAGGGAGCTCGCACGATCGCTTGCCCACACAGGGTCCTGGTGAGCACGGGTCTTCTCCCTCAAGAAGGCGCTCTCAGTGTCACCCCTGTCAGAAATCGTGCCTTTGAATTAAAAAAAGTGAAATGTTTATCAGGCTTGTCCACGTTATGAGAAGACAGGAGTCACAGGAAAAGACAATAATGCCAGGAACAGCGGAAGGCAGCAGGAAAAGAGGACGACCCAAGATGTGATGGATTGCCTCGGGCGAGGAAGCCACGAGGGCCTTCAGTTTGCAGGATCTGAGCAAGGCTGTTAACAAGAGGACGTTTTGGAGGACATTCGTTCATAAGGGTCACCATAATTCAGAAGCAACTTAACTGCACTTACACACACACACACGGTTATCTGAAGAAGGGCGCATGCACACAAAAGCTTATACCTTGAATAAAACATCATTGGTCTTAAAGGTGCCCCTTGACTCAAACTTTGTTCTTACACACACAACACTGTCCATGGTCTCCTGGGACAAACTTGTAGAACTTCTGAGAACAGGCAGTCGGCCAGACAAGAGGAGTGCTGCCCCGGGGCCGGGGGCTGGGTTCCAAGCCAAGTGTCCTCCTGTGATGAAAACAGCTGTTTTGGTAGAGGTCCTACCTACAGCCAGGAAGGACTCTTCTGAAGCTTCTTCTGCTCCAATGAGAGGAAATCCAGGACTGGCTCTTTGCTTCAGGGGTGAAGGAAGCAGGCAACAGGCAACCCACGGATAGGCACCGCTGGCGCCTAGCGGCAACTCGTGAAGAATCACTGTTCAAGGCTATTGATAGAACATGAAATAACACAAAAGCTAATGCCCAGAATTAAACTTAGTTGGTCTTCAAGTTGCCCCTGGACTCAAACTTTGTTCTGCTGCTTCAGACGAACACAGCGACCCCACCGGAATCTGTCTTCAAACGACCTGAGGGAGGAGGCTGAGGAGGACACACCTACTCTGGCTCCCAACACAGAAGGAGATAAAGCTAGGGGAGAGAAGGTAGAATTGGGTGGGGAAGCCAGTTTGGTGTAGTGATTAAGAGTGCGGACTCTTATCTGGGAGAACCAGGTTTGATTCCCCACTCCTCCACATCCGGCTGCTGGTGTGACCTTGGGTCAGTCAAAGTTCTCTCAGAGCTGTTCTCTCAAGACCAGTCCTCGCGAGAGTTCTCTCAGCCCCACCTGCCTCACAGGGTGTCTGTTGTGGGGAGGGGAAGGGAAAAGAGATTGTAAACCGCTCTGAGACTCCCAAGTGAAGGACAGGGTATAAATCCAATCTCCTTTTATTATTGTTCTTAACTCCTGGCCCTCTCCCTCTGAGGCCAAGGGAGGGCACTTCATCGGAGGGGCTGTGGCTCAGTGGGAAAGCCCCTGCTTGGCATGCAGAAGGCCCCAGGTTTAATCCTAGGCTCATTTCCCACTGAAAAGACCAGGTGGCAGATGATGTGAGAGACCACTTCCTGCCTGAGACCCTGGAGAGCTGCTGCCGGTCTGAGTAGACAAGACTGTCCTTGATGGGCCTAGGGTCTGAGTCAGCGTGAGGCTGCTTGGTGTGTGTCCAGGGCCTCCCAGTGTCCACGTGGACTGCACAGGAGAGAGGGTTGCCAGCTCCAAGCTGGGAAATTCCTGGAGATTTGGGGGGGTGGAGTCTGGGGAGGGTGGGGTTTGGGGAGGGGAGGGGAGGGACTTCAGTGGGGTATAATTTCATAGACTCCACCTTCCGAAGTGTCCATTTTCTCCAGGGAATGGATCTTTGTTGCCTGGAGTTCAAATGTAATCCCAGAAGATCTCCAGCCACCACCTGGAGCTTGGCAACCCTAACTGGAGGACTTCCTGGTCGAAAGTGCTCTTTGTTGCTGGCTCTGAGAATTCTGACTCGAGCTGTTTCGGAGAGATAGGATATCAATGGACAATAGTTCCTGCTTTATCATACTTTCCATTCTTGTACAGAAATGAAACTGTTTTACGGTACTGATAAATTTTTTTGCTCAGTTTTTCAATTGGACTTAAGCGAAATGCAGGGTTTTTTTGCCGTGATTGATCACGATCTTCTCCTCTTCTTGCTTCTCTTCTCTTATTCTCTATCCCATAGCATTTCAAATTCTATTGTGAATCAGAGACTGTAGAATCAGTACTGCTGAACTGAACCTGAGCCCAGGTGTTTCAGACGTCGCCTTGAGAGAGCTCAAG